ATGGCTTATTGTTTCGGCCCTCAGGCCGAAACAGTCACTACGTTTGGTTTGCCGGCCCATAATAGTCTCCGTGCGTGTCATTTAGCTGTCAGAGTTTTGGACCTAATCCAATCATATGCCGTTTCCATCATAAGCAATGGGAAAATGTAAAACATTTCACCATGCGGAGTATTTCAAAGAGTTGCGGTGAATCTTCTCTGTGTAGACTATTATACCTTTTCGCATGATGCCATTTTTTGGAAAAAAATATATTATTGATTTACCCTACGACAATGCGTATTTTATTCCTAAGTTAGTATCTAGGTCCAAGTCGCCAAGTAAGTTATTGAAAAGTTATCCAAAAGCTTTTGTGATTGTGCGGCAAATCAAGGCAACTTGCCAGTCTCAGCTGCCTGTGAGCATAAGATGAGAAAACTTGTGAGTTTATCTATGTAACTAACAGTTGATGCATATAGTAGTAGTCGTCGGCCGGTTCGAGCACACATTAGCCAGGGACTTCAAGCTGAGTATCATTAAAGATATAAACATGGGTTAAACAAATAAGTCAGACATTTCCTGCTGGTTTTTAGGCTTGATATCACTCGATTGAAATATCGCCTGATTATCATTAATGAAATAAAAGATGGTTAAAAATATAAGTCAGATATCACCCGATTTAAATATTGCCTGGTTTTTAGTTAAAAACATTTTAAGATAAAATTATATAGGAAGGTATAAAGAAATGTCACTAATTCAGAAGAAATATGAAAACGAAGAGCTTGGTATGTCTGTTGATGCATATATTGATAAGGGTATCATCTATTTCCTAGGCAAAGAGATAGCTTCATTGCTTGGATATGTAGATACCGATCAGGCAATTCGAAAAAATGTAGACGACGAGGATAAGAGTACTAACCCGTCTGGTATACGGGTTATTGGTAGACCTCCAATTTTTATCAATGAATCGGGATTATACAGCCTTATCTTTGGGTCTAAATTGGAATCGGCTAAGAAATTCAAACATTGGGTTACATCAACTGTTCTCCCATCCATTAGAAAATACGGGTATTACAAAATGTTTAATAATCCTAATAGTCTGACATTTAAAATAGAAAATGAATATGATTTACATACCAAGGTTGTGTCATATATTAGGAGATTTCATGAAAATGCCATTATCATAGCAGGACTTGGTGAGCTACAGGACACATCAAATAAACGGATACAATCTTATAAGAAAGGTTATATGAAAGGGCAACCAGATTTGTTAATTCAGAATCGTCATAAGTATTATTCTGGCCTGTGTATTGAATTTAAAACACCAATGGGTAACGGCATCGTATCCAAGGAGCAAGAAGAATTATTACAAAACTATGAAGATAATGGATATAAGTGTCTCGTTTCGAACGATTATGATTTAATTGTAAAAAATATAAATGAATACATGCAGGATGTTCGTCTAATATGTGGATACTGTAGTCGCAAATTCATTACTAAAGGATCATTAAATAATCATAAGAAATGGATTCATAGGCATCCGAAAAAAAATTATATATGAAAGGGGCTTAAAGAAATAGTTATATTATATATTATAAAATAAATGTTTTCGGAAAACAGATATAAGGGTAAAGCTATTGATAATAATAATAATATGTCAAATAGTATAATGGATGAACAAGTACCAGAAATTAATATACCAATTTTAAAACCGAYAAAAGCTATGAATACGTCTAACAAAGGTATGATCCAGGTAGTTGTAGACAATGTTCAGAAGCAATTGAATGAGTTTGCTGATTGGATAATTTCATATATTCCGCCAGATGTTAAGAAACCAGCTAATAAACGATTGGATGATTTGAAAGACGAGATTAATAATATTTATGAAAGTTTGAAAAAGACAAGGTTTGTACATAAGGAAACGAATGTCTTATACAAGAAAGAGTCAGCAATAAAGGGTTTTTTATCATCTTACAGAATCAATGGTGAGGAAAAGATTGATCCTAAATCATTTTTAGAAAAGTATGAGACCATAATTATTAGAATGATTGAACAACATGAAAAACCAATAAAGATGAAATTAGTTGTAGAGTGTGTATTTTATAAGAAGAAKAATAAAGAGATTGTATACACATATGGATATTTTCATAGTAATATAGTTATTATTACACAAGCTACGGATATAAAAGATGTATACGAAGCATTAGCAGGTGATATATTAGAAAAGATAAGCAATTTCCAAAATAGTGGATCGGGTTGGATATTCGATAGAGTTGTCAATTTAGATATTCATATCGATAAGTATAAACCTATAGCAGCAAAATCTTATATTCCATTACCAGGAAAATTGAAGAGTAAAGAGGCTATTGTTAATCCTATTAATAAGGATAATGAATGCTTCAAATGGGCAGTTACATTAGCTTTATTTCCTTCTAATAAGAACCCARATAGAATAACTAAAGCTCTTAGGAATAATAGTGAAAAACTTTGTTGGGATGATATTGATTTTCCTGTTCAGCTGGATAAGATTACTAAATTTGAGGCTAATAATCCAGGATATCGGGTAAACGTCTATCAATATATTAATGATGAGACTGTACCTATTAGAATAAGTGATGTTGAAAATTCAGATAGTAATAAGACGATAAATCTACTATTAATATTGAATGAAGAGACAAATCACTATTGCTGGATAAAAAATATGAGTAGGTTAATATCGTCTCAAATAACTAAACATAGTCATTGCAGATTTTATTGTGAGCGGTGTGTCAACTCGTTTAAAACAAAGAAGGCATTAGATAAACATTATGAATATTGTAAAAACCACAAGGCGGTTAAAATTACATTACCAAAAAAGGGGTCAACAATCTCGTTTAAAAATTATAATCATTCTATGCGAGTTCCATTCATTATTTATGCAGATTTTGAAAGCTTCACCGAGAGTATCGATACATGTCGGCCAAATGATGAAAGGTCATATACTCAACAGTATCAAAAACATAGACCATCTGGTTATTGTTATATGGTAAAATGTTATGATGATACTATATATAAACCAAAATTGTATCAATATACAGCTAAATCAGAGGATGAGGATATTAGTCAAAAATTTGTAGAATCGATAGAAAATACTATTAAGAATATTTATAAAAGATTTCATTACAATAAAAAGGTTAAGATGACAGAAGATGATACCAAGAATTTTAATAAAGCTACGCGATGTCATATTTGTGATGAGTATTTGAATGGTGATAAGGTATTAGATCATGACCATCTTACAGGTAAGTATCGAGGTGCAGCACATAACGAGTGTAATTTGAATTACAAGATACCGAAGCATATACCAGTGATATTCCATAATTTAGCGGGTTATGATTCACATTTATTCATTAAAAATTTAGGTTTTACAGAAGGGAAAATAGATTGTATTCCAAACAATGAAGAAAAGTATATTAGTTTCAAAAAGGAGATAGTCGTGGATACATTTACAGATAAAATGGGGAAGACTGTGAACATTAAACGAGAAATTAGATTTATTGATAGTTTAAAATTTATGGCTTCGAGCCTTGATGCATTAGTTAGCAATCTTGAAAATGATCAATTTAAAAATATGAAGTTATTTTATGGTGGAGAAAAGCTTAATCTATTACTTAGAAAAGGAATTTACCCATATGACTATGTCAACTCATTGGAAAAATTAAATGAAACATCACTACCACCAAGAGAAGAATTCTATTCAAAGTTAAATGACATGGATATTTCAGATGATAACTATACACATGCACATAAAGTATGGAAAACATTCAAGATAAAAAATATTAGAGAGTATCATAATCTATATCTAAAAAGTGATGTTATACTATTATGTGATGTCTTTGAAAATTTTAGAGATATATGTATGAAGAATTATATGTTAGACCCATGTTGGTATTACACAGCTCCTGGGTTATCTTGGGATGCTATGCTGAAAAAGACAAAAATTAATCTTGAGTTGCTGTCAGATAGTGAAATGCTATTAATGATAGAATCTGGAATTAGAGGAGGAATCTCGATGATTAGTAAGCGTTATGCACAAGCTAATAACAAATACATGAAATCATTCAATAATAAGGAAAAGTCGAAATTCATCAAATATCTCGACGCAAATAATCTTTATGGATGGGCTATGAGTCARAAATTACCAACACATGATTTCAAATGGATGAATAAGAATGAAATTAAAAATTGGAGAAAACACCCATGCATATTAGAAGTAGATTTAAGTTATCCTGTTGAATTACATAATCTTCATAATAAGTATCCATTAGCACCTGAGAGACTAATGATTAACAAAGTGGAGAAACTTATTCCAAACCTAGCTGATAAGACAAAATATGTATTACACCATGAGACGTTGAAATTGTATGAAAGTCTTGGATTGAAAATAACGAATATCCA